GGGGGGGGGGGGGGGAATGAGGATGGCAGTATCTATGCAGTACCGACAGTGGGTGTGGTGTAGTGGGGAAGATAATGCGCTTTGGAGTCAAACTGACTGTTTCAGCAGCACTTACTTAGCCGTGCGACCTTAGGCAAGTCAGCCTCCTGAAGCCTCCTTTTCCCCACCTATAAAATAGGGATAATAACTGTGCCTACCTCCCGGGGTTGGCCTGAGTGAGATAAAGCTTATGATGTATTCAGCAAAAGTCTAGCCCAGAGTAAGTGCTCAGTGAGTGAATGAATGAATGAATGAGTGAGTGCTGCTCTGTGCCAGGCCCCGGAGAGACAAAGACATGTAAGATGCCTGGGGATTCCTTAAACATAATCACCTTGAAAGCAGGGACAAAATTCCTTTTTCCTATCCTTGAATTCTTGGAAGCCTTCATTGCATGACTTTAGAGAAGGCATGCTGAATAGTATAATAAAGGTGATCTTTAAAATGATCCCCGAGGTAAAGATACCTTCAGACATTCAGTCTGTATGCAGAGATGGCGGTTGCGGGACGGCAGAACTGTGGCCTAGATGACACAGTCCAGGCTCTTTCTTGGCTTAGTCACCACCTAAATTAATGCCTCAAGGGGATGTTGAGAATCTTGCAGATGGGATGGTTTCTTTCTTTCTTTTTTTTTAAATTAATTTATTTTTGGCTGTGTTGAGTCTTTGTTGCTGTGCACGGGCTTTCTCTAGTTGCAGCGAGTGGGGGCTACTCTTCGTTGCAGTGCACGGGCTTCTTATTGCGGTGGCTTCTCCTGTTGCGGAGCACGGGCTCTAGGCGCAGGCTTCAGTAGTTGTGGCTCGCGGGCTCTAGGCGCGTGGGCTTCAGTAGTTGTGGCACATGGGCTTAGTTGCTCCGCGGCATGTGGGATCTTCCTGGATCAGGGCTCGTACCCGTGTCCCCTGCATCGGCAGACGGATTCTTAACCACTGCACCACCAGGGAAGTCAGATGGGATGGTTTCTTGACTGCAGTATGTGTGCTCATTCAACAGATAAGCACAGAGGTTCTTTGTGCCAGGCTCTTGGAATATGGAGGTGAGAAGCACCCCATCCTTGCCCTGTGCTAGGAGATACCATTTAAAACACTGTGAGAATGAGGCAGGATAGCAGGTCTGAACTGGTGCTGGATACAGTTTGCCCAAATGTGAATTCTGACTCCACATTTACTGTGTCTTTGGGCAAAAGTGACTTGACCACTCTGAGCTATAGCTCCCACATTTGGAAAGAGTCGGCCCTACTTCTGAGGTTGTTGTAAGGGTTGAACTTAATGCACACAAAACACTTAGCACAGTGTCTGGTATGTAGGTGGTGCTGAGTGTGTAGAAGCCACACAGCAATGACCCTGCTCGTGTCGTTACTGTCATTGTCATCCTAGGAGCTCAGAGGATGGGGCAGTGATGGTAAGTGAATGGCCAGATTTGGTGATATTCTCCAGGTCTCTTGTAGTCCAGCTACTCCCTCAGGTTGTGGGGGCTTCTGTTCTGTGTGTCTGAGAACATTTGGTTTTGTTTTCCTCCGCTGAGTTTGTCTCTGTTCCTGCTTCCCTATAGGTTGGCCACCTAATCCAGACTGCTGCGGGGAACAGTAACCTCAAGAGAGTGACCCTGGAGCTAGGAGGAAAGAGTCCCAATATCATCATGTCAGATGCTGACAGTAAGTTTTCAGGGGGGCAGGTCTGATATCAACCTGCCGCTAGCTCTGTATTCTGTGGTTCCACTCAGTTCCGCAATCCTCAGCATCCCTTGGATTGGTTTCTGCCCCCAGGGCCTCAGGATGAAAGTAAGACTCCTCAGC